ATGCAGCACTCCAGTTTGAAAAAGACAGATGCACCCCTATGTTTATCACAGTACTATTTACAATAGCCAAGAAATGGAAGCAACCTAAGTGTCCTTCAGCAGATGAATGGATAAAGAAGATGTGGTACATATACACAATGGAATATTATTCAGTCATAAGAAGAAAACAAACCCTACCATTTGCAACAACATGGATGGAGCTAGAGGGTATTATCCTCGGTGAAATAAGCCGGGCAGAAAAAGACAAGTGTCAAATGGTTTCACTCATCTGTGGAGTATAAGAACAAAGAAAAAACTGAAGGAACAAAACAGCAGCAGACTCACAGAACCCAAGAATGGACTAACAGTTACCAAAGGGTAAGGAACTGGATGGAGATGGTGTGTGGGCTGGGAAGGATAAGGGAAAAATGGGGCATTACAATTTGCACACATAATGTAGAGGGGGACATGGGAAAGGTAGTATATACAGAGAAGACAAGTAAGATTCTATTGCATCTTACTATGCTGATGGACAGTGACTGTAATGGGGTATGTGGGGGGGACTTGATAATAGGTGGAGTCGAGTAACCATAATGTCGTTCAAGTAATTGTACATTAATGATGTCAAAGTAAAAATAATAATAAAAAAAAGAAATGCAGAGAATGGAATTGGTCCTGCAATACCATGCTCCAGCAGTTGCCACTGTTAGCTACAAATTTGTTTCTAACTTGCAGAAGCTTAAAGACCAGAGTTTTAAGTGAGCTCATGTTTTCCTGTTGGGTTACTTTTGTTCTCTGCTAAAATACATAGCATAAATAGTAGCAAACCCATTATAATAAAGCTCAGAAAAGTGGAAAATAAAAATTCATATAAAGCTACAATAGATACCAATAAGACTTTGGACATTAAATTTCCTAGGTCTGTGTTGTCTTTCTGGCATTTTGTAGTGAATCTGCCAACTTATAATATCTATTCTTGTTGTTCTTCTAGGGGTTTGTGAGATCATGATAATATTCTGGCTTTTCATGCTTATGATAAAAAGGTAGCTTGAGTGGTCTTTTTTAATTCCTTCTCTGGATGGCTACCTGGTTATAATTATATAATCAAGCAATTGATCATGATGTGTGGCTGTTTGGAGCAAATGTATCAGTTTAATTATACCTCATGTTTCTTTACTGATGATCATTTATTCATCAAACAGTATCGAGAGCTTTCTCTGTGCCTGGCACAGTGCTAGAATTGAGGATACAAAAGGACAAGGCTGGCAGGGAAGAGAGACACATGCGTGGAAAACGCTAGGGTGATGTAAGAGGAGGGTGCACAGAAGTCTCCAGAATCCCCAAAGGGGACGTTATACAGAAGCTTCTTTCCCAGGTACCAGCCCAATATTTTTCCTGTTAGCATGTCAGTCATGTCCAAAGCTGAACTTATTACCTTCCCTCCTTCCCTCCCTCCCACCCCCAATGCTCCTCCTCCCACCCCCTGCCTACACAACTACACCTTCCTCTCTGTCTTTTCTCTGTCAAGTGCATCTTTATCCAACAGTTTATCTTCAAGTAGCAACCCCAAAGTCAGACTCAACTCCATTCTCTCATCACATCTGGTTTCATCAATGCTCTCTTAGTAGGACTCTATTCCAGCTTTGATTATCCCTCCAGTTATGGGGCTCAGACTTTTGGTGGGGAAGTGCGCCAATGGTCTCCCAGACATGGCCTGGAGAAATAGATTTGGGAAATAGGTGAGAGTGTCTAGGGAGAAGAAGAAGAGAAACTTACTGTCATTGTAGTTATTGAATTGAAAGACATGAATGTTTTATTTTTGTTACATATTTATTAAAAACAATCATATATAGTTTATTAAAAAATTTTGCCCTGATATACACAAAAATTTCCTGATAATGGTAATTAACAACAGCTACTCTCACCTGCCTTCTGTCCACACCAATATTCAGTCAAGATTGGTTTAATATTGAGATGTAACCCAATAAGACTGAAGATCAAGCACTTCAGGTCCTAGACAAGATAATACAATACTCATAAGCCTTCTGCATCCTTGGATTGACTAATGTCAATAAAGGAACCAGTTTTTGATGGAGTGAAAGAAATGTGTTCATCTCCAATGACAATTCCAAGCCCCTGCCAGCCCACTCGGTCAGGAGAAGGCCACAAAGCATCATCCTCTTTGGTAATTTCAATTTTTAAGGTCATTGCTGTTTTAATTCTTCCTTGCATTTCAGACCTGGTATTATGGAACTCATCTACCTAGTTCCTGCAGGGGGTAGGCTGGAGTCACAGAGCACCCTTGAGGGTGTCCACTGCTGCATTTAATCCTCAAGGTGACCTCTAAAGTGATAGGTCTGATATACAGACCCCTGGTTCATATCAGAATGAGGCCAAAATATACAAAGAAAACTTTAACAAGCAGCTAAAAAGAAATAATCTGCAGGTACAGGCAGAGGCAGTATCTTTTTGTGGTTAAACTGAATTTGCTAAGTGAACTGGAAATGCAATGTGTATTTCCCAAAACTCTTTCCATCATTGTTATGCCTCAGACATGGCCTAACCTTTGGATATACTCTGCTAATATAATTGCCTTGCTGGCTTTTAAAGGTGGCTGTTAATTGGGTTCCTGAGCAGCCGCTGCTATTGAGGTGCCAGTTGCAGCCTTTCCACAAATGGGGCCGCTTCATTAAGTGCTTCCTCTCCCTGGAAGGGCCCCTGGGCTTGGATGGTAGCCAGCAGTTACTGAAATGCCATCACTTATAGGATTGCCCTTTAAGCCACTGATTTGTTATTTTATTGAGTTTCAACTCTTCTCTCAAATTTAAATGGAGTTTTATTGGATACAGTGTTAAACTCAATTCTTCCCATTCTCAGTGGCCTTTTCATCAGGTTATTTCCCTCTGGTTCATAGCATTTAGTCATCTGACTGGACAAGAGGTTTCAGAACTAAAGACAGCTTGTCAGTTATGGGGCTCGGACTGTCAGTGGGGAAGTGTGGTGACAGTCTCCCAGACATGGCTCAGGCATGCCCAGTGGGCTGATGATTTGTGCTCAGGTAGCCTGAGAAGTCTCTTAGGCAATTTTTTCCCCTTTGGTAAAATTTGTTCTGAATATTCTTATCTCTGGGATTGTTGTCCTGAAGATTTTTAATTTGTTTGAAGAAAGTGAGTACATAACTGTCACACTGGATGAACATTTTAGGGGTGAGGTGGGAATGTAGGACAACAGAAAGAACTTTGTTTTTGTCTTTGACTCTCCCTCTGCTCAGAGCAGCTCTGTGGGGCTGTTTCTTTTCATACCCCAGGATGAAGTCTTGGGCGGCCCAGTGTATTTCCTGATTATTCTCGTATAATGAAAAGTTCTCCAGTCACATTTCCTTTCCAGGCAGTCTCAGCTTGGTAGTTAATACATCCAACCTCAAGTAGCTGGTTTAAAGTGAAAGCTTCTCCTATCCCTGGTTCAGATTTTAGATTCAATTTTGTCAAATTCCACCAAAAATAAGAACTATGGGTATTTTTATTGGAATACATTGAAGTATAGATTAGTTTTCAGTTTAGAGGTGATAAAAATATTTTCTTGGATTTATTCTTATTTGTTACTGCAAATGCTGTGTTTTCAAAATTAACTTTTCTATTTGTTGATACTGTACAAAATGTAATGAATTTTGTGTATTGATTTTATATCCAACAATGTTGTTGGATGTTCTTATTCTAATAAATTTTCAATTAATTTTTAATATAGACAATTATATCATCTGTGAAAAAATGAATTTTTTCTCCTTGCTTTCCATTTCTCATGCCCTTTTTCCCTCTATTTTTCTATGTTCCCCTCCTGGTAGAATTGGTTAATAGAAATGGTGATAATTGCCATCTTTCTCTTATTTTGATTTTAGAGGGGTTGCTTGTAGTAGTTTACCATTAGGTAAAATGTTTGTAGTAAATTTTCAGAGGGTATCCTTTATCAGGTTCAGTCATTTCACTTTCTAGTTTGCAAAGGATTTTAATTATGTGTTTGTGTAGAACTGTATCAAATACCTTTTCTGTATCTTATGAGATGTTGTGGGTTGACTCTTACTGAGGGCTGTTAAAATGTAACATATGGCATCTTCTAGGTGCAAAGGCATTGCCAAGTAGACTGGGAGAGATGCTGCATTTTGAAACATGAATTACATAATGTTACACATTTTGTAAACATATACCCCTTAACGGGATTATCATGTTGTTAATGCTTTCGTGCTTGAAAAATAAAACTCATCTTTGTTTGTTTGTTTTTCTCTCCAGTATTACTTTACTGTTCTTTTTGGCCACGAAGGACAAAAACCACTGGAGCTGCGCTGTGAGGAAGAGCAGGATGGTAAAGAGTGGATGGAGGCCATTCACCAAGCCAGGTACGGGCTCAAATCCTCTGTGTGACACTAGATTGTCTGGGTCTTGCAGTTTTCACTGTTGGTGTTAGATTTAAAAGAATTTGTACTTCCAAGATAAGCTTCCTCTTGATTTCTCCTCCTTAGTCACTTTTGAGATGATTCTTTGAGCTTTCTATGGCTATTTCCAGCTAAAGAATAAAAGGATAATAGAATATAACAATAATAATGGTAATACGTCACTTTTGTGGATTTGTTGATACATGCCACGCACTGTTCTAAGTGCTTCTCCGTTAAGGAGTTTATTAAATGCATTGATTGATTTCTCTCTCAACAGTCTGTGAGAGGGCTGTTATGATTACCCTCTCTCTTACAGATAAGGGAGCTGCGGCCCCGAAGGCTAGTTTCCTTGCCTGAGGTTACACAGCTAGTAAGTGGCAGAGCTGGGATAGGGACCCAGCCCAGCCCCCATTTGTAAACCCTGCCCTGGGTAAGCCTGGTTGTTGAGAAAGGTGATGCCTACCTCTGTCTAGGGAAGTAGAAGGTTGTGATTTTACTTCCTCTCAAGAAATACCAAGAAAGTTGATAAGAATGCACTGGCTGCAAATGGGAACAAGAAATCAAAAAGAGATGCAGAGAGCATAGCTCTCTTTCATTTTTCATATTCAATTCTGAAGTCCCATTCATTTTTGCTTCAAATGGCTCCCATGCTCACTGCTTTTTGCCTGTCACTTCGCTAATCCAGCCCCTCATCCCTCCACAACGTTCTGCTCATATCCCTGATGTTTCTGTGGCCAAACTTGAGCTGGGGTATGTTTTCATTATCTTCACCTGACATGCTCCCCTTCCCCTAAATGTCCATTCATGTTTCTACCACCCCTCCCTGAAGCTTTCCCCCACAAGTCAGCCATCACAAGCCCCTTCTCCAAATTGCTGCTGCACTTACATTTTACTACATGTAGAAAATTTAACAATTTAGCACAATTTAAGTGCGTTTTTACATATTCCACAGATGTGATTTCTGTTTTCATGGGTGTGATTTCTGTTTCTTGAGCTGGATTGTATGCATCTTGAGAGAGAGGAGGAGAATGCTTCATTTCTGAATGAAGTGCTAATTATGTAGTAGGTGATCAGGAAATATTTTCAGACTAATTATTAAGAGAATGAGGCATTTGTTCTGAGTTTAGACTGTTCTTGAACCCTTAAGATGTTCTCTGCAAGTCTCCTCTCCCCACCTCTCCTCTCTTTTTTCTTCAGCTGCTTTATAAGACACCTCCTCTGTGGCAGGCTGCATGCTAACTGCTTTACATATTTATTTATTTTTATTCCTCCCAGCTACCCAGAAAAGTATTATTAACCCCATTTTGCAGGTGAGAAAACAAAATATTATGATGATAATTGAGCAGATTGGTCAAGTCTAACACAAAGCTGTTAAGCTGCAGAGCTGGAATTCAAACCCAGGTCAATCTGGTTCCAGAATCTTTAACCAGTGTTCTGTATTGTACTTCTCTTCATTATTATCTTTTTTTTCAATCTCGATCTGTTCTATTGCTTTTTCTCCCTTCATTCAAAGATGAAAATGGATTAATGTGAGGTCAAGGTTGAGAGTAGAAGATGTTTTTTGAAAAATATTTCAGTTCCTTTTCTTTCTTCCTCTCCAAAATATTTATCTGAAATGTGAAGGGTTGGCAACCCAGTGCTGTTCTCCAAGCGGACCCCTGGAGGCAGCTTGCCCACGTCATAATACAGGCATACTGCTCAACTGTCTTTGTTCTTGTGTGTCTGTCTGAGAGTCTTGCTCCAGACTTAGGACTAATGTAGAACGACTTACTGTAGAAAGAAGGTCAGGTCTTCTAAGGTGAAGGAAGTATCAAGCTGGCAAGGTAGAGTACTTGGGCCATTTCCAGAACAATCTTTCTGACCACTTCTATTCCTTTCTACTTGGGAATCAAAATGCATAAATAATTTAAAACATGTATATTTGCTCAACTTTTTCATTTCAGTAGAGCCAGGTACCATTAGTAGCCCAAATGCCTTTACATTTACCAAGTCAATATGCTGGCAAACTAAATACAGTGTATGAATTATTTTCAAAATGGTTAGATTTCAAATAAGAGATTATTTTTCTATAAAACAAAAACTTTGTCATATATGTGGAAGTGGGTCAGTAACTATTAGGTATTAATTGAGATATGACCAAAACCAGGGCATGTATGATCTTGTTAGGAAACAGACTTCAGAAACCATGTTAGTGGTTTATGTAATCCAATGGTAGAAATTCTCTTCTCTTTTGGATTTGAGATTTGGTTAATAATTGATCTTTTTCTTGATGTCCTGACTTTTTGGTCCACTATATTTGCTTTTCCTTTGACTTGAGGCCCAAGACTGTGTTATAGAACATCCTTTTAATCTGAGTGCTTTACACCTGAGCTCTTACATTTGACTGTTTGCATTGAGATGCTTCTTAATTGTTTTTGTTTTCTAAATCAGGGAAGATAATAATCTTTTAATTTTCCCTAAGTCAAGTTTTTTATGTAAACTTGGATCTGTGAAATTCACCCTGACTTTGTTTATACATGAACCGGGCCAGAAAGTTAATGAAGCTGATTTAGAGAAAGAATTTATGAGCCATTTTTACTTGGCACCATGCTAATTAAAACAACTGGTTAGTTGAGTAAACATCTCACCTTTAAAGGACAGTTTGATGGCATTGATTTGCTGCCTTTTTAATAGAAAAGTTTAAATGTTTAATAATTATGGTTTTATTGATCCCTCTTTTAAGGAGTCTGAGCTTTTGATTAACTGATGACTATTTTAGCATGAGACTAGTTCTTTTCAGAGCTAGAAATCCTCCCACAGATACTACATAGAAACAGGGACTGCTGAGAACCCTCAGTTGGTCCCAGCTATTTTCCTGAGTTGGCTTCTCAGTACTGGCCTGGGGATGCCATCTTTATGTGCCCTGAAAATCATGTCCTTGCTGTTGGCTTTAACACCTCAGAGTGGAATCTACTTGCCCCAGTTTGTTTCAAGAAGATCTTTGGGTCATTTGCTGGGATGTCAAGTTGCATGTTTTCTCCCTTAGATCTGATCCTGGAAGAATCTTTTTTGGAAATTAACATTCTCATTTTGAATCTTTGATCTGGTCCAGGAAGCTTGTTTTATAGTTTTGCTTGTAGTTGGCCAGTATTACATTTCTAGAACACTGGCACATTTAAAATAACATTCCATCACATATTATTGGCACTAGTTCATGGGATGCTGCTAGAAAGACTCAGTCTTGTTTTTTTCTGGACGAGGTGAAGCCAGAGCATTTCAGTATCAGTGAAATGCTTACCCCATAAACGGTTTGTTATTTGGGTATTGATCTTTGGACATTCCCAATCTCAGCCATATCTGTCTACCATGGTTGATTTACTTGTAAACATTAGGACAATCAGAAACACTAATCCAATTGATTGTGGGATCTCAGTGTTTCATTGGCTGAAAAGACAGCGTTCATAGTGCTTTTTCTCCTTGTTTCATCTACTGGAACACTGACCAAGTGAAGCCTTGGCATTTAGAAGGTAGTCATAGCCTGAAATTGGACACAGCTGTACAGAGGTACCAAGGCTCTTCCCATTCTGCCCCAAACATAAGACCCAAGAACCTGGTATTTGATAGGTGGGAAGAGAGGTAGAAGATACGCCAGAGATCTAGCAGGTGGACTTCAAAGGACTTTGTGAACTCTTGGGTATGGGCACTGTTAGACCAGTGTGACATCTAACATACCTCTCATGCCCCCTACTTTGAATGGTGATACTCACTGGGAGAAGAAATAATGAGTAAGAGCAGGTCTGTGAGGCGAGGATGACAAGCAGGGCCAGGAAGGGCCTCTGTGGGGAACTGGAGGGTATGATTGCTACGAAGGGGCAGTGGGGAGCCATGTGGTAGTGATGGATCTCCCTGCCCCTTGGTACGTATGGTGTGAGTAACAGTACCGGGGGTGACTGGAGAAGTAAGGCATGTCCTGAGGGGAGAGCCAGCTCTGGGTTTCTACCAACGCTGAGGTCAGGGCAGGAATTGTGAAAGTTGGAGACATAGAGAGTATTGGACTGCTACACTGCACTATGGAATGTGCATAGCTTTTATTTGGCCCTACAAAGGTGTTAAGCAGAAAGACAGATATGAGAGGGATGAGAAGAGGATGGAGCCCACCAAGAACTCAGGGGGTTAATCAGATTAAGCCAGAGAGCTAGAAGGGACTCACACCTTTTGCAATGTGAGTTCATTCTACATTCCCTGAATCTGGGCTTACCTTGAGACTTGCTTTAGCTAATGCAGGTGAGCTAGGGCAGAGACAAGGGACAAGCATTATGATTAAGTTTCCTAAATATGTTGAGATTAGCATAATAAGAACTAGAGGGACATATCTTAAGGCTAAGATTCCACTTTTGGAAGAGAATTGGGAAGTCAGAGTAACATTCTTTGGTGATCAGCCACTGATTTATCTTAAGACAAGGTAAGCAGTCTTAACTGACGTGTTCCCAATACTTGGGAGTGGCCACTATCTTAGAGAGAAACAAAAGATTTGTCCTAAAGAATTACCTAGAGGAATAGCTGTAGACAAAGGCATATTGTCTCTCACCAGAGATAGAATCATGAGATGAGAATGCCTGACAAACCTACACCCCTACCTTTTACCTTTGCCCCATTCTTGAAAGCCTTAAAAGACAGAATTCTAGCTTTCGGGTGTGCATCCTCATCTCAGAGGTTGCCTACACTTGCCTTTCTTCGAGTGTGTCACTCTCTCTGTCCTACTTCAGAAAAGTAGGGAGAGGCTACTGAGAACTCTGATTTGGGCTTACAAATTCCCTTGCCTGGGTGACCCAGAGGGAACTGCAGCTGCATGATCATGCTCCTTAATTGCCTGCCTGAAAACCTTTTCCTTGCATTTGGGAAGTTCTCAGAACATAATCTCACTCGATCCAGTGCTCTGCGGCTCCCCCAACTCCTGGGGTGGTAGGGACTTAGTTCCCACATGG